TAATAAGAGTAATAAATCAAACCCGTAGAGATATTTCAATAATGTGTTTTTGTTCTTTATACTCGTCAACTACTTATATCTATCATTTTTTTAAGCTCAAGTTTGAGGGCTCGACAGAGTCAGCTTAACCCGACCCGACCGTAGACGATGCCAATTATGATATCCGACGCCCCCAGGGTGTAAGCAGAAAACAAGGATGTGTTCTGCAGGCAGATAATCCCTGACAAGCCGAAAGGCCCGCCGGACTCACCTACGCGGAAGCCCCCGACCCACAGAGACTTCTATAGTGTCATAATTGCCTCCACCCCTCCACCGACGGCCACAACTCTCGTCGTCCCTGTTTGTAGCAGTTTGTAGCTACACAGTTGTACCTACAACCGACACGGCCACAGGCAGCTTTATCAGAACCGAGTGTAGAAACAAGTCCGCTCAGCGGCACGCCACGCCCTAAATGTTTTTCTTATACTGGCGTAATCTGAGACAAGGTGAGTGACAACGCCTGCGGAGCAGCGGGTAGGCCCGCCCGCCAAGTGTCTGTGTGAAGATGGTGGCCTACCCTCAGCGCCTGAGCTGCGATACACCCTGCTCTCCCGCCAACCCCAAGTGGACGCATATGCACATACCCTGCAACGAGACTACCACCTCGTGCAACATTGCTGTTGTTTGTTCGTTAGGCGTTTGATTGTTTGTGCCGTCGCAGAGGTAAGAAACTGCTCTTGTTATTTTATTTTGTGTTCTAGTTCGTTTTCATAAATTTGTAGATTTATCAGTAATGGTGTTATGGAGACACCTCTGTCTGTGCGTAGATGCGGAAGAACGCAAACGTGATAAGTCTCATTCACGAACCTCTTTACATAACCTCATTTTGAATTTACTACTATGTTCCAAACTTTTTTTGACATTTATTGTCTAATTTAAATTCATGTCTAAAATATCTTCTGTTTCACTTTTATCAGGCTGTTGGTATTTGGTGTTTAGCCAAAGATGTTGGATCTAGAGAGAATGAAAACTCTCTAAATAAGAGTGCTCAAAATGATACAAGTAAACCTGTAAAAAGGTTCATTGCTTTAATTTAGAAAAGCGTCCCCGCTCTACAATCGTACTACTATCATGTCGGTAGGTCGTGTTATGTGTTCTGAGATATGAAAGTACAAATAGCCAATGGGGTGACACCGTTCTGAGTTGGTGCAGTGATTGTAATTAACTAAGGCCACTGAGAGTAATTGCAATCCCTCCCCTTATGTCGTCACTGGCACAGCTGTAGTTCATGGCTCTCCTCGTGATAGAGATGCAGAGGTACGGATAGAAATAATTATACTTCATTAGTAATTTGAGGATGTTTTTAAAAATAGAAAACAGCACCAGTTGCTCATTTTCTGACCTTAGAGAATAACTGCTATTAATATCAGATACAGTCCCTGGAATTTTTGAGTTTTTCAAGTGGGATTCTAATTTTTTGTTCACATTTAGTGAATTAGGTAGAAATAAATTTTGAAGCCTTTGAGATCCCCAATGTTTGTAACCTTTCTGCTGCACTAATGATTGTGAAAGGGAATGGAGGACTCCATGAAGCAGGACTGGAAGAAACAAGAGCCTCTAATTTTGTAAAGCTTTACTTAATTTATTTTCATGAAATCTTATCTCTTCTTTGATTTTTCACTTTTTTGTGAACATTTGATATTGATTTAACATTGTTTGTCTTAGGCAATGCTTTTGAAGCATTGCACGTTAATGTTGTGAAGCTTCCTGAAACTGTAAGGAGTCCAGAGAGGAGTTGTTGATGATATATGTAGACCAAAATTCTGTTTTTACCCTGTTGCAGGAAGACCGTCCAATAGTTGCATCTGTGCTCGACATCAGCTAAGCAGCCTATGGGTGATCTAATGTATGCTGAGTTGGCGTCACACCACACTGCATGAGAAATGGCCCCTTTTTCCCATGATCTCAGGAATGAATCTGGTAAGTTTTAACTTTTTTTTTTATGTACGTAATGTTAACAAAAAATATCAATACATCATAGTAGAGTCATGTGAGGTAAAAGTTTATTTTGGTATCTGTTTCCATTGGGGAGTTTCATATCTTTACTGTCTCTATGCTGCCTCCATATGTATGGCTTATTACTTGATCCTAAAATATGTAGTCGTGTGTTGATTGTAGTGGAGGGAAGTGGAAAAGGCAAATCATCAGTATGTCACTTTCAGTAATGCTGTTATTTATTTCATTTGTATGGTACAGTCGTAGTAAAATAGGAAGTGATGCTGGTTCTTGTCCTTAGGGATGCCTGGACTTGATGCTGGCCACCTGTAACATAGAATTTCATTCGATGAGCTGGCATCACAGTGATACATATGGACCAGAAAACGTTTGAGTTGAACTCTGAGATGATAATTTGAATTTAACTTATAGATTTTTTTCATTCTTTTACAGGTATCCTGATTAGCCCCAAGTCACCAGCAGAAACAAGCCGGCTACTTGAGGAAGACTTACTCTTATAATGTAAATGATTTGAAACAATAAAGAATAGAAAATCACTACATCTGACATTTTACTTGATTTCCTACACCTAGTTAGC